AAAAAAAAAGACTCGCACATCTATGTTCATAACAATATTATCCAAGCAAGGTGATTATGTCGAGCATTAACCTCCCATAGGTGAGCAGGCATTGTCACATCTTTAATACTCATTGTGCGTGATGAGGAAGCCTGAATGGAAAGGCTTTTTAATTACTGCAATGAGTCTTATTAAATCCCCCGGGAGCATGTGCACCCCCTCCTCTAATCTGACATCGGCAATTCCCAGCAGACCCCCGACTAATATCACCAGTGGTGCCTTCTCCTGCTAAATCCACACTTTCTCCGTGTTGTGTTTCTGAGACGTCCTTCCGACTGGCAGGAACAGAGGACTTGTGTGTGTGTTGTGTTTGTGCTGCTTGTGTCAGACATGTGGAGATAACAAGGGGATTACAGCACAGCCATCATCCAGGGATTTGTCCAACAACAACAAAAAAAAGCTTTAAAAAAAGCTCAAAAGACAGAGATGCTGTATGTAAACAGACATATAAGAACACGTAATCCAATAAAGGCAGATACAATTTAGATTTCCTGCTTAAATCTGATCAGATCAATGTAGAATTTCCCTGAGGACCTCTGCATCTTGCTGCTATAAAATAAAAGAAGTTTATTCTTTGGCCCTCTGGGACCTGAAGAATAAAGGCTGGAATACTCCCCAAGAATGAAAGAAAAACTGAGCTGAAGACTAAATTAAAAGTCAGAACAATGTAGAGCTTTGTGTTTATCTCCTGTTGTTTTAAATTGATGGTGTCCTCCCTGCTTCAGAATCCCAGAGTTAATACTTTTCCGGCCAACCCTGCTTCCAGGGATTCCCATTCCATTACTCGGGGTAAATAGCCTGTGGTTGCTCAACCACATCGTCTCAGAATGGCTGCTGTTCTAAAATGTCCTATTATCTTTTTTCACCTGTGACATTTAGCTTCTTTGCAGCTGTTTTTTAGTCAAAAAGAGAGGGATCATATTCCAGTATTCAGACTCAAGCTAAAATGATGCAAAAGCATTCTGAATTGAATCAGTCCGAACGGATGAGGGGCCAGTAAAAACGTTTATCCATTATTCATCCGATTTTGCTTATATACTTGAATTTGTCCAGACTTCTTTTAATTAAATTTGACTCAAATTTAGAATGAATCATGAACTATGCCAACCAAGCATTCAAAGTGAATGTGCAAGCATTAAAAGATTGATGCAGAATTCCAGCAGACTTGTCTTCTGCTTTCAGAAAGATAGAGGAAACTAACACTGTTAGATAAAAAAAAGACACTGTGTTATTGCATACTTGGGGAAATAATACCGTCTGGTGAAAATAATAAAGTCTCTTATCTATTAGTGTAGATTTTTCCTGCAGCTCAGCGTTTGGACATACCCTGTTGTTTTCAGATACTGCTGGCTCCCGTCCACTCCTAAACAAATCATTTGTGTGCAGTCAGGTCATTTGCCAACCAAAAGAGGAGTGCTAGCTGTGTCTAAACTTGTCCAGGAACGTTCCATCTGCCTCATGATTTCTCTGCAGCAGACCTGAATCTGCTGTGACTGTGGTTGTGACAGCGTTTATAATAATGCAGTTATGGAGTTAAAAGGTAGGAGGAGCAAAATATAAAGAAAAAGAAACTAGAAAAAATTAAGCAATTCTTTTTTCTCACTAAATCACCACCCATCACACACTCAACAGGGAACAAAAACCTCATTTCAATTCTGCTCAGTTTGAACGGAAAAGCAGCGAAAAGGCAACTCAGTTTTAACAAGATTTGTGAGGGGAAAACTACAAAATAAGAAAAATACAATACAAAAAAAGAGGAATATTTATTCACTTGAATCATTCTATATAACTGATGGCAGCATAAGCAAACAAAATGATCAATCCTGCTCCATGCTATAGTCACTTATTATTTTCAGTTTTCTACAAACCTGCCATTTTCCATATGCAACCAAAACATTATATTTTAAATAAAAAATTACCTTTATTCAATAGAATCTCTTGTCCATTCTTAATTCCTATCAGGGTTCTATGTCCTGGCCATCACAGGTCACCACAGGGCACAAACGGGCTTGGGTTCAACTTGGAAACATTGAGAGGTGAAAACCTTCATATTACAATGCTGTCTCAACAAGTCCACAAGACTTAATTTCCAATATACATCACACTCATTTTAATAATCCACTTTCATAACTCATTCTGTCATGAAGATCCAGTTTGTCCAAATGTCTCCTTGCATCACCAATTTGTTATGTCAGCTTGAGTTTCTTCTGGGGTCAACAAAGTTTTTTCATTTTCGTTAACAATTTACTCAAGCAGTTCTACTAGAAAGACCCCAACTTGGCTATTTGTTAATTGCATTAGGAGCTGAGAACATACTTTGCTATTCCTTAATGGCCCTATCCTGCTTTGTTGGTATCAAATGACTTTCATTCTCAGAGTGCTTGGCAGCTCCTGAGTGGAGCCCATTACAGTTGATTTCTAAGGCAAAATTAGATCAAAGCTTTGAAATCTCCATCACCTGTATTTTTCTAGTTATGAAAGTCCATTTATTACTTTAAAAACTACATTATGAGGCTTTGTCAATATATCTTGAGTTGCCAATTGTGGCAACTACGCTTTTCATTCTCACCTTAAAAACATCCTTGTGGCGAGCATAAATCTGTCACTTTAAGGCAAAGATGTGATCTGAGTTTAACATTTAAAAAATGAACCATTTCTAAACACAATTCTTTTAGCCAGGAATTGTACATGAAGTAAGATTCTAAAACACTAGGAGGCAAAAAGCAGCTCAGTTTAATGGAAAATGGGGGGGAATGACTGAAGGGTTCACATTGATCTGAATACCAAAATCCCTCATGAGTCCTTGTGTTTTAAACCTTAAAGAGCCAACAAAATGCTCACAAAATTATCTACTCGCAATGTATGTTTGGTTAGTAACACAATGTTACTATTTCTGGTGTAGTTCAAGAGGTTACGATATGTCAAAACAGCGATGCTCGAGGGCTGTTACTGTCACATGATAAGTAGAACTTCCCTCAAAATTGCAGTGGAAAAGAGGAGCGAATGTGGCAGTTTGTGTGCACCGTTGAGCAGACTCCAGCTTCATTTAAGTGGTCCCCGTCTACACATTCCGCCGTGACATTTTATGATTTTCTTTCACCTGCATTTACCATGAGAGTTCAAACAGTCAGGGATAAATAATGCATTTGCTATAAATTAGACTAAAATGGATCCTGGGACTGCCCTGATGTCAAGGCTGTCCTTCCACATCCCTCAAACTGACCTGAAGAGCTCAAACAAACAGCGGGGTGATGGACTCTGATGTGAAGCAATTTCTCACGGAAATACTTATGTCAGCGACCTCTCTTGATAGTAGAGGCTGCGATCTGAGCCGAACGCACAATCTTTGATGGAAAAGTCTGATCTCGCCTCATCCTCCCCCAAAGCTACACTGCATGCATGCACAAGACACAGCTCACACTGGCTGAATCGTTTCCTGAGTCAAATTCATTCAAATAGCTTTCACTTCGTGTGTGTTGGGAGAAAGATATGTCTACCAGAAATTCCAAACCATCTGGTCACATCTACAACCAAAACAAAAGAAAAGAAAGTAAGCCAAAAACAAACAACGGTGCAAATGGAAAAGTAGAATTTGAGTTGGCCTGGAAATTGCAAAAGTGCCTGAAGAGAGCTTACTGCAGAATATGCAGATAAGAAAGGATCTGTTGTAGGATGGAAAAGGATGGAAACTGCTCCTTCTCCAAGACAGCCTTATTCACTCTGTATTAAAGGGAATGGCAGATGTTTTTGAATAAAGCATGCTGACTCTACCTGTAATTTCCAATTTCTAGCTGGCTTCTCTCTCACAATGTCATGGTGCAGATTTCCTTGGAAACCAGGAGTCGAACAGATGTTCCTTTTTTCGACTACAGAAGGACACTGGGGGATCATTTCATGTTCTTTTGTGTTTGATAGTAGAGCCGGTCATGATATTTAAATGTGAGCAGCTTGGTATGCAGTGCACATGGCTCCTGTCAATCATGAAAGGTGAGACTGATATTCTGAAAGATTTTTTTTTTTTCTCCTATGGAGGAAAAGGTAAAATGTCCCAGAGCGAACGTCCTCCTCCTGCTGGATTATGATAAAACGTCCAGTAAAATGTATGTGGGATTCATCTCAGATTTGAACAAACAGCTTGCTGTCATCTGAGCTCTGCGTTCTCAACACGTCCTGGGCTGGGGCTGAATGATGGATGACGTTGGGATCTGGATTACTGAGACAGGCAGAACCAGGGACGGGCTTGTCACTCGCGCGCTATATTTGGTCAGACAGCACCAGACTCACAGAGAGACAGTCTTGTATGATCGGGCTTGACAGATTGTTCTCCCACTGTGTCCACTCTCCTCAACGACTGAGTGTGACACACAGAGATGAGCGTGCACAAACAAACTGACACCGAAGCAGGCTTCCCGCGTGTACAAAGGAGGCACAAAAGGGGAAGATGAAGGGTGAAATCTCATGGGAAATCAGTGCAAGTAAACAGTGGACACCCACCAAATGTTAATGGACAGCAACAGGGATTGAAGAGGCCAGGAATTCAGACATCAGAGCAAAAACAGAGGCAGGACAACATCTTTAAATCTCAGCTGATGTCATTTTGTTGGCTGTATTCTATTTGTCAGAAGCCCTCATAATGGAAAATGTCGAACACCTGGATAGTGCATATCACAGTTCGTCAAGTGGTTAATCAGACCCCAGTTGGTGTTCAAAGTGGGCTATATGAAACCCATGTCCATGCTGAAGTCCGACTAAAGGCAAACCCAGATAAAACTTTCTTCTTGAGTAAACGAATGGGAAACTGTTGAGTAAGCAGGCCCTCTGGCTCAGACAAAACCCATTTCCTACGATATTAACAACATTTCATTGCTGCCATTAACTTTTATTTCTGTCTCAGCAGGTATCCCTAAACTGGTGTTGTTGTCCCTGTGTTTTGTGTCCTTTCCACCCCAAATAGGACATATTTTTAAATTAGTTTTATGAATGTGACACATTGGAATTTAACTAATTGGATTAGATTATATCATCATAGTGTTACCGTGATGTCTGTAATTGGCTTTGAATGGGCTGTTTTGTCTGAAGTGCTTTCTCATGACATTGGTTGTGATTCAGTGCGATATAATCATAACTGGATCGAATCAAGTTAGAAAGATTGAAAGAGTGTGGCTGCTTGGAAGCAAAATATAAAAGAAGGGATGGACGGAGACTTCTAAACAACATCGCTCTGTGGATTAAATCAAATTGGCTCTGTGAGTTTTCATTTAAATTCTTCCACGAGGGCAATGATCTGGCCTGGGTTTGCTCAAAAGTTTCAGCTTGGCCTGTGTGAAGGTCAGGTGTGCTGAGGCATGGGTAAGACCATGATATCAGCGGCAGAGTTGTTTAAAAATGGGTATTGACTTATACAACAGACAGCCTGATCTAGTGATCCATCATGCTTCAGGGACAGAGAGACAGAGTGCACTTTGTATCTGGATATATGTTCATACGTGTATGGAGGACAGACGCAGGGAGAGAGTCTTACACAACATCTCAGTATAGCCATTATCCAGACTGACCTTCCTCTCCCATTTCCTCCCATCAAGGGAGCTTAGCAAGACAGGATTACAACCAATTACAGGCCTCCCCGGGGAGCGCAGAAACAGGGCTTGAGGATCATCTATTCATTGTGTATGAGCAACCAGATGGAGGATGACCATTTAGCATTTAATCAGCTACAGGAGTCAAATGATCACAACTGAGCAATACCTGACACTGAATGCACCTAAGAGATTAGGAGAACCCCTAAAGCATTCTGAGTCATCAGAAATCGCACGTTAGAAAAAAGTCTGAATGCAACAGTAGCTAATGTAGCAATTTTAGATAATCTGATATCCGGGAGGTTAATGTGAAAACTATCAGAAACGCTTTCACCTTACCATTCAGAAAGGAGCGCATGAAACACAGTGCTGCTTTTCAACTTGGATTCAAAAGACTAAAAATGACTCTTACTATCCTATTTTGATGTGAAGCAGACGCGGCCATCTATCCTCATATCATCTCGCCTTCACACTCACACTCACACTCTGCCTTTGCAGTGGTGTCATCGTTAGCTTGCTTCTGCCATCACTGCGTTCCCCACTAAAGACGCGGTCAGGTGTAATGTGTGAGGCAGATGTGGCTGATGGCCAGAGTGTTGCCTGTGTTAACTAGGCCAGCGGCTGAGCAGCGCATGCCTGGCTGTTTACAGCCATCTCCCGGCATCTGTATTCCTGTGGGAAAGTGCCATGATACGGTGGCGAAGCAATGCCTAATCTGCTGTAGTCAGACTGAGGGGAGGGGTGGGGGGGGGGGGGGAGGTGTTGAGGGCTCATTCCACATCACCTGAAGCGGTCAGAAACAGAGCCAGTGACCTGCAGTGGCGGGAGGTGAGCGCGCACGCCTCTGTGTGCCACTTACAGCCGAGGAACGAACCCCGGCAACACCGCAGACCCCCGGCCCACATCCCCCCCCCCCCCCACTGCTGTCCATCTGCTCTGCCTTTCACTGCCTCGTTCATCTTTATTACGCCTCAGTCACTGGACCCATCCACACATTTAAACATCACAATGCTGAGTCAGAGACGCTGAGCATCACACCGGGGATGTGCTTCCCAAACCACTCCACTGTGTGTATTCTTCAGAACTAGGAGAGATCGCAACAGATTTTATTTCCATCTGATGTCGTCTTGGGCTGAAACGCAATCTTGCCACACTGTATTAACGAAACAGGGAGCATACACTCACCATATGCCTCTGGCCTTGGAGAAGGTCTTGTCCACTCTGTAGGATAAAAAAAAACATTACAGCCATTAGAGTTGGCACCATATTGGATTTGTTCATTGAACAGAATTAAGTTTGTCATAAGATTTTGTTTGGTTTTTTAACATAGCAAAAAAAGAAAACAATCCTGAAGACTGTCTGGATCATTTTCAAGCACATGTGTGAAACCCACACCCAATAATAGTTTCTATATTCTTGTCTGTCTGCAAGTTCACGCTTGTGGAGGTGCAGACGAACAGCTGACCACTCCTTTTCTGAACAAGAAAGTCCACTGAAATTAGAAGGCGGTTAGGCAGCAAGCCGGTTCACCCTGAAATAACTCCTACCATCTGTTGAAGTAGCATTTCCAAGGACAAAAGGATGATCACCAGCCTGTTTTCTATATAATTATTCTTATCCTGATTTCAATAGATGCTATGACGCTCATGACTCACTGTGGGTCTAAACTGAACTATCACCAGTTTCTGAATCAGACTTAAAATCTTTTCTTACTGTTGGATTTTCAAGCCCTTCATGGCCTCTCTATCAGCCGTATCTCTCTCTTCTTAGGACCGTACATGCCCATAGGGACTTTCAGATCATTGGGCAGCAGTCTTTTGTCTGTTCTTAAAGGGGTAAGGAATTTTAAGAAAAAAGACCCTGAGATTCTGGAGTGATCCGCCTGAGAAAATAGGTCGGATGGCTCAGTGCCCCCCCTTTAGTCTGAGAGCACGTCCTTTTACTTTACTTTTTGGATTGGCATAAAAATGTATAGACATTTTTGTTTGAATTAAAAAATATTTTCTTGCTTATTATTTAATTTTAATGTGTTTTGTCATTTCATATAATTAGTTTTCTTTCATATTGCTTAGGAACATAATTGAACTGTTTGCTTTGTAATACAGATATTACTTTTTTAAATATCTGTTCTTTAATTGTAAATCACCATAATCTCCCACAAATCAGTGACTCTTCAAATTCTAACTTCTGATTCACTATGTCCATTTTAAACATATCTTCAAATATATATTCCCCTGTATGTAGTGACTTTGTCCAGATTTGTTGTTTCACAAACAGTTTTTACAAAAGTTTTTTTTCGTACTTTCAACTTGTCTGATGTTGCTGCCTTAATTGAATATTTTGTGTGACATATTTTTATGACCATTCTATAAAACATAATTATAGGGCATCATGTCTTTGTGAATCATAAATAATAGAAGGTGTAACTATCTAAGATGACACAGCAATTTGCCCCACATGAAAATGTAAGGTCCAGTGTCTGCCAAAAGAGGGCACTGTGTCTTAAGAAGAAACTATTTCCTGATGTTTAAAGGGAGAAATTCTTGATATAGTGGGTCTTTCCTCAGTAAAAAGCCCTTCATAATACAAATGGGAAAAAATCATTAGAATAAAGGCAACACAGTTTCCCATGGGAGGAACCTCTTAAGATCACTGACCACAATAATGTGAATATTTAATGCTGGTGACTCATGGTTGCAATAACTGCTGTCAGAGACAACATGAGAATGGTTCAGGCTGTATTGCTGCTATAGCTGTCCACCTTTATGACTCAAGGTAAAGCTAGGTCTCTGTCAGCTCCAGCTCTCAGCAGAGTTACGAGAATTTAGAGCTGTGAGTCAAATTCTGAGAACAGGACTAACAGACAAGAAACAGCAACATCCAAAGGATGACAGCCTGACTCTTGTAGAATTTTTACTATGAATACAGAAAAGTGACACTATAAGTGCTACATTGTGAGACAGTATAAACTCCATTTTCACTTTGTTTATATGGTTCATTTAATTTAAAAGGGATTTTTTAGTCTCCATACACTCATCATTGGCAATCAACACAGTCTTTTGGAGCACTTTTAGAACAACTGATAGTTCCAAGGTAATACGTTCAAAACAAAAACTATTTAAAAAAAACATGAGTCCAATTCATGCAAAACTAGTAAAAAATATATTATATAATGACAAGAGGAATGTTTAGAGACGGTTTTTACAGTCTGACACCAAGCATGGTGGTGGCAGCATCATTTCTCCTGGCTGCTTTACTGTCAGTGGTACTACTGCCTTGGACAAAGTGGATTGAATAATGTAGAAGGGGGACAGCTAAATCAACAACTGCATGGTTGCAACTCAGCTAGGTACTCCTACAAATAAATGATCCCAAACACTTATCTAAGTCAGTTTTGGAAACGGATAAAGCGTGTCAAGCTTCTGGACTGTCCCACCACTTTATCCAACAAGAGGTCCATAGTCAGCCAGGATTATGCCTGAAGCTGACTGATGGGTGGAAGCATCTGGTTTAGGTTTAATTTGCTAAAGGACATTTAATCTATTATTTGTGCGGGCGTATACATATTTTGTAGCCTCTCTCAATAATTTGAATCCTGTGTGGACTGAAACATTCCTTTTCAAGGGTGCATAATTCAAGGTATAATTCAAAGGTTGCATAATCATTCCAACCTGAAAATATAATGGTTAAATAAATCATTCAAATTTAAAAATGAATTATATTTATTACTGGGATGTTGTTAACATGTATTTTTCTGACCATAACTATGTGTCTGTACGCACGTTTTTAGCATACATTCATTCAATTGCTATTGAGATCATTTTAATTAACTTGCGGGTGGTGCTCAGGGAAAAGCGGGAAACTTTTTTCCGAAAGTGATGGACTGAATGCCACCCCTTTGGATACGGCCAGATATCATGAGCTTAAGTTCAGAGGGGAGGTAGCAGAAAGAGCTCCTGTTCTCATTCATAAAACAATGGCAAATTGACTACAAAAAAGTGATTACTTCTCCTTTTGTTGTGAGAATTTGTCAAAAGACAAATGAAAGCTAAAAGCTTCCTCCTTATAAGAAACTGGCCCTGGAGGTGGAGGAGGGGGGTGGAGAGGGGGGGGGTGTTTGTTAATTGCACTGAGTTAAAAGAGCTGTGCTGCTGGAGTAGGTTCTTGTCTGATTCCTCTCGGCACAGAAGATCTCTCCACATCTTAAACCCCAGGCGACAGTGAGATGGAATCTGTGGCATTGTTCTCTCTGAGATCTGCCACCACCGAGCATCTCACCGAACCCCACAGACACATATGAGAACAGATAAGTCATTTCCACCCGTGCGGAAGAGTGTCAAAAACAGCTACGGGCTGCTGGTTCTGCTGCGCCAAAAACGTGTGAGGACGGAGAGGCTGCTGTCATAAGCATCTCAGAGAAAGTCCATTTCCAAACCTCATCTTGGCTAAACAATTAGCATGACAATCAACAATGTTCTTCATCGTTACAAAATCAACTAACTATATTGCTTTCAATACTGTTTGTGCATGGAGCCCTGATGCTACATCAAGAAACCAAATCTAACCTTTAACATTTTTTAAAAACCCTCAAAACATTTTGGGAAGCTGGGGATCAGGTATGACTGAAGTAGTGAATTTACATGACACATGCTAATTTAATAAAACTTAAAAAGTGCTGTGTGACATGAAAGGAAACGTCCCTCACTTTAACATAGCATGTATCACAGATAACATCTCACCCTTTTCAGCAAAAACAAAGAAAGAAGTCCATCCCAAATAAGATGTTTGAAAGTGGGCTACAACTAATTTACCTTTACTGATTTGTTTATGAACACTGTCAAATCTTTAAAAAAGGAGTTTATTCATTTTGGATTGTATCTCTTTTGGAGAAGAAGAAGCTAATTTAAGCTTGAATGAAGTGGAGTTACAGATCGGGTTGTCGCAAAACAGAGGTAAAAATAGTTTGCCATGCAGGTTGGCATGGAAATAAACTTCTGTGGGCTCAGGCCAGTTTTCAGAAACCCAAAACTGTGTCAGCAGTAATGACTCTCGACAGGGAGTTAATTCAACTTAATCTGGCCTCCAAACGTTTAAACATCCTCTTGGCTTTAAAAATGAACTGGGGTCTGTAGTATATATATCAAGTCAGCAGCACTGCTCACTGCAAGTAGGTCAGCAGGCCGGGATGATGAGCCCGCCTGAACGAAATCCAGCTTAAAGTAAACACGTTTGTTATTCTGCCACAAATCTGCAGTCGTAACATGCTCTTGCAGTGACTCTGGGTTTTAAGAAGCCGTTTAAATTTAGCTAAATCCAGGCTCCCATACCTCCAGCCAAATCCTGGCTTACAATGACACCTCCCAATTAAACCTGTAACGAAGGCCAGCCTTTCACTGTATTCTCCAAAACAATCAGAAGATTCAAGCCACAAGAAAGAGCTCCTAGCCGAGTTTCAAAGAGCCATTTACACTCATGGCAGCAGTGGAATGAGTGGTAAAAGAAGAACACGATCCCTGTGAGATTTACATTGCACAGCACAGACTCTCCCCCCGCCCCCCCACGCCTGCAGCCACCTCTGCAGAGGCCACGCTCAGCGCTACACCCAGTTAAGCAGGTGTGAGCTGAGGACCTCTGACAGCCGGGGCTTATAGACTTCACGGGCAAAATGCAGGTGAAAAGGCCATGCATCTTACCTGGAGTCAAAACAATTAGAAACCTGCAGTGATCTACACCAGTGATACGGAGCAGGGTGTGAAACCAGCGTCTAACGCATAACCGATTCATTCTCACTCATCTCAAAGCTCTTACTTCTGATTACGCTTTGATGAGCATAGCATCCGCTCTGTGCCACAAGTCTTTACGTTTCCTGGGATGAAAAAGACATGTTCTGCCTGTCTCCGCCTCTCATTTGCTTGTTTGTCTTGCTTTCATTAAAGCGACTGGTTTGGTTTTGGCGTAACAGCCGGGACTCTAAGATATTACTCGTGTTTTCGTTCTGATATTATAAAGCAAAATATATGTTAGCTATATGTTGCTTTTTTCACGTAACGCACATTACAGATGTATGTGTTTGCCTCAGAGCTTTCCCCATAAAGATTTATGGGAGATACTAGTGGCTTATATAGTTGGTTATATATGTCACTGTTCCTAATTGTTTATTGTTCAGAGGTCTGGCAGCATAATCTATAAACCCCATGTGTGTTATGATTGATGCTAGTGGG